GGATCTCTGAGATACGGCGGCTCTGAAAGATGCGTCGGCTACACGCAGGAGTGACCCTGGGCAAGAGTGACCTTTGGTGCGCGGCTTTTGGGGTGCCGCGGGGGGGCCACACCTGGGCGCGCAAGCCGATGCTCCTGCTGCGCTTCCAGCCATCTGGGGACCCATCTGTGCCCGCACCAGAGGTCACTCCGGCGAAGGGTCACTCTTACGTCTAGTCGAGATGCGTCGGGCATCGCGGCCTTCAGATGAGCCTCCCGGGACGCTCTGAGGAGGAGGAGGAGGAGGAGGAGGAGGAGGAGGAGGAGGAGGAGGAACGCTCTCCAACGGCTTCGTCCTCGTCCTGGCCTTCGGCCGACGACGCCCAGATCTGACGGTCGTCCTCGCCTCGTCGCCGCGCCGAGGCGGCGCGCCCTGCCGCAGGGGAGGGAGGAGGAGGAGGAGGAGGGAGGAGGGGGGAGGAGGAGGAGGATGAGGAGGAGGAGGAGGGGAGGGAGGAGGAGGGAGGAGGGAGATAGGAGGAGGGAGGAGGAGGAGGAGGAGGGAGTAGGAGGAGGAGGAGGAAGGAAGGAGAGGAGGAGGAGGAGGAGGATGGGAGGAGAGGAGGAGGATGAGGAGGGGAGGAGGGAGGAGAGGAGAGGAGGAGGGAGGAGGGAGGAGGAGGAGGGAGGAGGGAGGGAGGGGAGGGAGGAGGGAGGGAGGAGGGAGGAGAGGAGGGAGGAGGGGAGGAAAGATGGAGAAGGAGGGAGGAGGAGGAGGTGGAGGAGGAGGAGGAGGAGGCCGGCCCGCCTCAGCGAGGCAGCGATGACGCGGGCGTACCTGTCCTGCCGCTCCAGTGCAAGGTTGCGGTCTCCGGCTGCCGCCTGGGCTGCGGAGGCCAGCGGCCAGCCGAGGGATAGGGGGGGCAAGAGCGAGGCGAGGAGGGACTCTTGCAGCGCGGCCGCCATCCACTGGCAGGAGGAGAAAGAGGGAGGAGGGAGGAGGGGAGGAAGGGGAGGAGCAGGAGGAGGAGGAAAGGGGGAGGAAGAGGGAGAGGAAGGGGGAGGAAGGCAGGGAGGTAAGGAGGGAGAGAGTGATGATGATGGAAGGGGGGGGAGAGATGGGGAGAGACGCGAGGAGAAGGAAGAGAAGGGAGTGGGAGGAGAAAGGGGACACGCAGGATAAATACGCTCGCGCCATACCTGACTAGAACCACACGCGAGTCTCGCGAGCGCTTGGGGGGTCCTGGTCCTGGAGCTATTGTCCACACCCTCGGTTCCCAGATGTCCTTATGCTATGTGTTCGCCTCCTCTGACGCAACCTGGTGCGAAGGCACGCGCGGCGGGAAAACTAGGAAAGGAAGTTTGAGGATGCCTCGACGAAAGGAGGACACGTTATCCTCATCCTGCTTCCCCCCTCCTCCTCCCCCTCCATTCGAAAGCTCCGTACCATCTCAGTCATCAGGGACCACACGCGCGCTTCGCGCGCGTAAGGTCTAGCGCAGAACACGGCAACGTCAAAACAGTGCGTGCATGACGCGACCTCCTCCGTGGTGAAATTATGTTTGAGATAAATCAGTTCCTCCTCCAATCTTCTTCACTCATCCTTCCCTTCCTCTCCTCCTCCTCCCCCTCCTCATCCTTCTCCTCATTCTCCTCCTCCTCCTCCTCCTCCTCGCCTTTTCCTTATCCGCTGCCCCCCTTGTGGGGCCACCAGGCTGCGCAGCTGTGTCCTTCAATCTGGTCCAGCTTCAGTTTCCAGGTTCCAATGTTATAGTTCTACTTCCTGCTCCCTTCTGTAAATTGTTGCTGTCACCGCGAAGAGGGGGACCGAAAACGAGCATGTTACCACTCCCGAGCCGCGTTGCCTGAATCTCCGCTGGGTCTGAGGCCCGTCAAATACGTGAGATTCGCACCCCCAAGGCAATGGTCCTTCGTCAATTACGCTAGAATCACATTTCCGAGGCCAGAACCCCGTGGAAATCACGCCAGGTTTTCGCTCCCAAGGTTAGAATCTTACGTCAGACCCGCGCTCTCGATATCAAAACCCTTTCTGCAACTTACCCCGAATGCGCGCTCCCGAAACCACAATCTCTATAATCACCCAATGTCTGCGCTCCCCAGATCAGAGGCTCTAGAATTATTCCAGGCTTGTGCTCCCAAGGCCCAAATGCTCCGTAAACTCGCGTTCCGAAAGCCACATTCTTTTGCACACAACGCCAAGATCGCGCTCCCGCGACCAAATTCTTGGTAAATCACGTCAGGCTCACGCTCCCAAGCAAGATTCCTTCACACAGTTCACCGATATCACCTGCCCGAAACCAGAACCCGTGAAAATTACACCAGATTCGCGCCCCCGAAGCCAGACCCTTTCTGCAAATTATGCCAACGTCGCGCTCCCGATGCCAAATCCTTCTGAATAAAAACCACGCCGGCACCGCGCGGGGAGCGCTCCAAACATGCGACCAAGGTGCTCCATAGCAGCCCCAACTCCAAGATTGCAATACGTCCTGCTGATTTCTGTCCGTCCCTGCGTGCTCTTCCCAAGATGTACAGTCGGACTTGATTGGACAGGGTACGCGAGAGGACACGAGACCCTTCCGAGGGCCACACCGCCGTAGGAATGTAGGAGGCATGGGTCGCGAGACGCAGGACACAAGGGCACCCTTGATTTGGCAGGGCCGACCTGCTAATCGGGGCCGGCTGTGTGCGAGACCGCGCCCAGGCACCCCGACACGGCTCCGAAGCCTTCCGCTGCGATGCGGAGGGGGGGCCGCCAGGGGAGAGCGAGGCCCTCGCGGAGGAACGAGTGGCACGCGTGCCCTGGCTCCTGAGCCAGGGAGCTGCGAGGGACAGGAGGCTCCCGCCTCCTTCCTCCGGGAGGGAGGCTGGGTCCAGGCCGAAGGCAGGGGGCGAGGGGGGCGGACTCCGGTGCAAAGGCGGAGCGGAGGGCTGGGTCCACGGAGGGGGGGGCAGTGAGGCGAGGGGTGGGGGGAGGGCGATGGAGGCAGGGTCCAGGGCAAAGGCAGGGGGCGAGGAGCTGACTCCAGTGCAAAGGCGGGGCGGAGGGCTGGGTCCACGGGGGGGGGGGGGGGAGTGAGGCAGAAAGGGGGGGGGAGGGCGAAGGAGGCTGGGTCCAGGGCAACAAGCAAAGGCAGGGGCGAGAGGGGCTGACTCCAAGTGCAAGGAGGGGCGGGGGGTGCCAGGACGGCCAGTGGGGAGCACGGACGACGAACGAACGAACCACGACGACGAAAAGAAAGAGGTCCGAGCTCTAGAACACAGCTGTGCAAGAGAAGATCTCCTCCTTGTCGCACCCGCAGACGCCCAGACGTGTCGGTTGGGCGGGCCAGGCGTTTCGCCTGAGACTCCCTCAACACTCATGACCCTGAGGCATGAAATTTGCAAATTTGCAGCAGCTTCAAGGATGGAGGGCGGGACGCCTTCAAAGTAGATCTCTCGCCGCAGCGCCGCGCACATTCGTCTTGAAATGCTACAGCAGCTTCAAGGAGCGAGCACAAGTCATTTTCAAAATATTCCCCTCGCCTTAGCGCCGCGCCCATTCGTCCTAAAACCTTGCAACAGTTTCCAGGACTCGGCAGGCTGAAGTCACACGAACGGCGTTCTGGTGCGATTGAGGGTTTTCAAGACGCAGCACGCATGGTGAGTCGCGGTGCTGATGTCCGACGAACAAAGTTCTGGTACGATTCGGGATTGTCAGGACGCAACAATCACGTAGGCTCGCGGCGCTGACATATTAAAAAAGGCTCTCTGGCACGACTTAGGATTCCCAGCCGTTTGCCTTTTTCCTTGGGCATTTCCCGCAATGATGATAATTTTATGTAGGGACCTTTTATGAAGAGAGAACTTGGGGTGATGGGTTTATTGCAACACCGTTGACGCGTCTCGGGTTTACACTGGTCCTCTTCGTCCTCCTCCTCCTCCTCCTGCTCCTGCTCCTGCTCCTGCTCCTGCTCCTGCTCGTCCTCCTCCTCCTCCTCCTCCTCCTCCTCCTCCTCCTCCTCCTCCTCCTCCTCCGCATCCTCCTACTTCCTCCTCCTCCCCCCTCCTCCTCGAACCTCCTCCTCCCCACCTCCTCCTCCTCTTCCTCCTCCTCCTCCGCCTCCTCCTCCTCCTCCCCCCTCATCCACCTCCTTTCTCCTCACCCTCCCGCATCCTCCTCCTTCTCGCTCCTCCTCCTCCTCTCCTCCTCCTCCTCATCATCATCTCTCATCATCATCATCATCATCACATCATCAATCATCATCATCATCATCACATATCATCAGCATCAGCATCATCATCATCATCGTCGTCGTCGTCGTCATCATCATCATCATCATCATCATCATCATCATCATCATCATCATCATCGTAAGCATCTAAACCATCATCAGCATCATCATCATCAGCAGCAGCGTCATCAGCAGCATCATCATCATCAGCAGCATCCTCATCATCATCAGCATCATCGCCGTCATCATCAGCAGTATCATCATCACCAGCATCAGCATCATCATCAGCAGCATCATCATCATCAACATCATCATCATCGTCGTCATCCGTTCCCCTGTTCGACCTGCCTCCCGCTTTTTGGCTCCATGATCCCTTTCTTCTCGCCTCCTTGCAAAACGTATCGGTGCAACGGGAGGGCCCCTGCCGCAAGGAGTTGCCGTGACAGCCATCGCTGCACATGTTGCGCCCGCTCACACTGGGTGTTCTCCAGGAGTTGATTGAAGCCTCCTGGGGGGGATCCTGAGGGTGCTCTGGGGTCGTGGGAGAAGGCTTGGGAGACATCTTGGAGGGGAGCTGGTACAGTAGGAGGGGAGCCCCTTTGGGGCCCCACCTGCGCCCCAGGTGCGCGAGGAGCGGCGTGTGAGATTCCATTGGAGGGCCCGAGCAACACGAACTCCCTGTGGAACTGAAGAGGACCTTGCCTCAAGATGTTGACCGCAGCTCGGCGAGGGCTGGTGCAGGACGTGGGGGGGGCCCACGCGAAATCATGACGAGAATGCACGGGCGGAGGGCTTCAAGAACGTCCTGGAGCCCGTGGCGCTGGGGCGCAAGCATCTGCCCGACCGTGCGCAGCCCTCGTCGCACCAGGTTGCGCAGGCTCGCGGTCCCCTCGCACAGGGAGGTTATCGTAGGGGCCCTCCTGGAGGTAAAGAGTCCTCTGGATGCCCTCGAGACGTGGAGAAGGCGGAGGAATGGAGACCGGCGCATGGCTGTCTAGAGGCCCTCTTGGGGAGACGATGAGTCCCTCTCAAAAGCCTCTTGCAGCTCTCATGGGGCTGTCTTGACGGTCGGTGGGGAGCCTCCAAGCATTTTCTGGAGTCTTCGTGGGGCTCTCAGGCGCGGTCTGGGGGGGCCTCTTGAGAGGCTCTTGGTGTAGCAAACCCAGACCTGCTCATCTGGCCTCTTCCCCGTTGGGCCGCCCACTTTGCCTCCCGCGCTCGTCCTCTTGGACGAACTTATACTTAGATCGGGCATGTCCCCCTACAGGCGGATCTTGCAGGAAACATTCAAAATACCCAAAACAGATTCAAACATTTCCCAAAAAATACTATGTTTAGCTATGTTTGGCTATTTTGACTAGTTTTGAATCTTCTTCCTGTAGAAGGACAGGCCCGATTAAAACTTTATATCTCAACGGTCTTCGCCCGTCGTTAAATTCTATGTTGCCACGCTCGGCGGTGGTGCAAGTCGCATGCCCTCTCGGCAGGAGCGCCGCCCGCCCTTGCACGGAAGGAGCACGACTGGAGCAAAGCCCGCAGCAAGCAACAAACTCCCCTCCCTCTCTTCCGGTCCCCCACTCGCCTTTCCCCCTATCCCCTCCCCCCCCACCCTGACCTTCCAGAGAGCTATTTGTTTAGCACTGGAAACCTAAAAACCTAAAAAACGAGACGAACCAGCCTAAAACCAAGACGTAAAATAGCTCTGGGATAGGTTTTTACGTCGGGTGCTATTTTTTAGCCCTCCTGGAAGGTCAGGGCACTCCTCCCCACCAACGGCGCCCTGAGAGCGTCGGCCGGATGCACCTCACACGACGACCCGTCCCCTTTTCCCCTTCTTCCCGCCCCCCCCATCACTCCGCGTCCCCTCCCCCTCCCCTCCCCTCTCCTCCGCCCCCCCCCCCTCGGTCTCCCCTCTTCCTCGCCCCCCCCCCCCCCCGAACGCAACGTCATAATTTTCACAACGTCGACCCCCCGAGGCCCCCCAGATGATTAGGAAACTCTGAAAAACCCTTCAGTCGCCATTTCTGGGCGACGCGACGGGGTCTCGGTCCGGGGCCGAAATGTCGACCCCCAGACCTCGCCTGCGGTGCGGTCTGACCAGACTTTCGAAGCGGATCCCGCCGCGGCGACGAGGAGCCGACCACAGACCGAAAAAAGAGCAAATAGCATACACAAACAACGTACCTCGAAGTGCAAGGTCATAGGTTCGAGTCCTCCTGGCTCCCCCCAATTCCCCCGTCACACGGGGGGCCAACGAAGATGAAGGGAAGGAAGGAAGAGAGGAGGGTGGATGGCATGGGAGAGGAGGGGTAAGTGTTGAGGGCGGGGATGGGAAATGGAGGCGGGAGGAGAGGGGAGGTGATGTGGAAAGGAAAAAGAAAAAAAAAAAAAAAAAAAAAAAAAAAAAAAAAAAAAAAAAAAAAAAAAAAAAAAAAAAAAAAAACGAGAGAGAGAGAGAGGGAGCGGCTCCCTCGAGGGGAGGGCCTTCCCGTCGCCATCTTTGGTTCTCCCAGGGGCGCCCCGCTCATCCCGAGCTCGTCGTGAAGGGACTGCTCGGTGTGGCTCAGGTTGGCGGTCAGAAGGCCCTGGCACTGCGACTGGCAGTGCCGGAAGACCTCGGGGCTCGGATCGGGCGGGCTGTACAGTCGGGGCCCTGAAGAAGGAACCCTTTTCGTTGGGGAGGGGCTCCGCGTCCCTTAAGTGCTTCACAACTTGCCTCAGGCTTTCCTGATGTTTTCGACCGGAAATCGAAGGTTAACTTACGGAAAAAAGGGGCCTCGTTCCTCATTTAGGGTTCCTTAGGTCTTCGCCCCGACTGCAGGTGGGGGGGGACCTCAAGGAGGGGTGAACAGCAAGGGCCCCTTTGGGAGCCCGCAGCGGCCCGGAAGGGGCCCAAACGGGGCCCTGTTGAGGGCCCTGTCCTTCGCTCCCTGCTGGGGCCACCCCCCAGGGGGGAGGAGGAGGAGGAGGAGGAGGAGGAGGAGGAGGAGGAGGACGGATGAGGATGAGAGGAAGGAGAGGAGGAGGAGGAGGAGGAGGGGAGGAACGGTAGCATTCTCGCCTGCAGGAGGAGGAGGAGGGCCCTCCTCCCCCTCCTCCTCCCTTCACTCCTCCTCCTCCTCCTCACCCCCCATTACCCACGACCCCCGACGTTATGATTTTGCTCATGTCTCGCCCCCAGACTGGCTTTTCATCCTGAGTCGCTTTTTGACGATTCCGGGGCCCAGCGATGGCCCCGAGGGGTCGAAAATGTCGCAAAAGCCTCCGTCGTTATGCCTTTTGTTTAGTCGAGGGGATCGGGGTCAGCACCCGCCCGATCGGACCCCTGTCCAGCCCAGACCCCCTGCGCCACGAGACAAAACAACATATATATAATATATAATATATATTTAAAAAAAAAAAAAAAAAAAAAAAAAAAAAAAAAAAAAAAAAAAAAAAAAAAAAAAAAAAAAAAAAAAAAAAAAAAAAAAACGAGGCGGCGCGGATCTGCCCTCACACCTGGGCCTCCGGAGGCCCCTCGCTCGGGCCCCCGAGATCCGTCAGAAGCGGCGGCTCGAGGCCCGCGGCGAAGCGAGCGGAGCGGGTCGAGGGCTCCGCGTGCCCCCGCCGAGCAGGAGTGCGGCGTCGGAGGTCTGAGCACCTCCTCCGCCTGCTGCTGCCGCTCCCCTTGCTCCACCTGCTCCTCCTCCTCCTCCTCCTCCTCCTCCTCCTCTCCTCCTCCACCTGCTTCTCCTCCTCCACCTCCTCCTCCTCCTCCTCTCTCCTCCTCCTCCTCCTCCTTCCTCCTCCTCCTCCCCTCCTCCTCCTCCTCCTCCTCCTCCTCCTCCTCCTCCTCCTCCTCCTCCTCCCTCCTCCTCCTCCTCCCTTCTCCCTCCCTTCTCCCTCCCTCCATCCTCCTCCGTCCTCCTCCTCCTCCTCCTCCTCCTCCTCCCACTTCTCCACCCTCATCTTCCTCGCTCCCATGTGCCACAGGATCGGCTCCGGCATGGCTCGCCTACTCCAAGTCCCCCTCCTGCCCAACTCCCTACTCTGAACACTTCTGGTCCCCCTCGTCATCCACGCCTCTGCCTTCCCCTCCTCCTGCTCCTGCCCCCTCTTCCATCCTTCATCCCTCTTCCTATCCACCAAAGTGCCCCCCTGGCAGCTTGAGGCGAGGTAGAAGATCAAGTGTTGTGTGGAAGGGATGTCTTATGTAGGTCGTCTAGCCTCCCCCCCCCTTCACGCGTAGCTGCATCTACTACCCCTCCCTTCTAAAGTTCTTTGGGCGGCCAATGCTTCCCCCAGGCGCTCTAAGGCTTTCAAGACGGCCCAGGAAGGCCACCAAGGCCGGAAATGGTCCAGTATTGCCTCAGGTGGTACCCAAGAGCTCCCAAGAAGACCCCAAGATCTGCCAAAGGGGCCCCAAGATGCTGCCAAAACAAAAACAAGGTCAGCAGGCTCTTCGGGAAGGCCAACATCACTTTGAAACAATAAGGAACTCTCAAGTGTTTCAACTGTTGCGTTTTCTAGGCCTCTTTGCTGAAGATGGTTCCAGGAGGGCGTTTGAGGATCCGAAGAGAAGCCAAAATATTCAAATGAGGGCCCCAGACGGTCCAGGATAGCCCCGAGAGGCTCAAAAGGGGCCCAGGACTGCTCAAGGGGTCCCCAAGATGGATGGCCCAAGAGAGCTCCTTGAGGCCGCAGGGACAGCCCCGAGAGACTCCCCACCGAGAGAGGCCCAATATGGCAAGAGGGTCTCAAGAGGGCCCCAACATCACACCACAGAAGTCCAAGACAACCCGAAGACGGCCCAGGTAGGCCCAATGGAAGCCCCATCCAAGCAAAGAGACGAAGAGTGGCACATGTTACGGCCTTCCGGGCGATGCTCGAAGCAGCGCCCGAAGCGTGGCACGGTGGCGGAACGTGCCGCAGACAGCTGGCTAAGTGACGCACCCTCGCCGTGTCGGTGGCCGGCCCATGCATCTGGCTGAATGAAAGGGCCCTGGGACACGCAAATGAATACACACAGATAACAGGATTTCCCATATTTTCCCATACTTTCTGGGTTATTGTCTTCTCCCCACTTCCCATATTGTCCCATATTTTCTTGTGAATCGACGAGTAATTGTGTCTGTGTGTTTTTTGTCCTCCTGACTTAAGACGTCCTCGCGGCTGATGACGACGAACCGTGAACCTCCCACAGCTGCGTGGATGCACGGCGCCCCGTTTTCAAGGCGTGGCCGCCGCAGCAGCGCCGCGCGCGCTCGTATCGAAGCTGGGGGGCTGCCCGTGATCAAAATCGGGCATGGCTGCCTCCTCGAGCGTAGCTGAAGAAGAAGCTACGCTCGAGGAGAAGAACAAAAATCGGGTATGGCTGCCTCCTCCTCCTCCTCCTCCGAATTGGGGCATCGCTCGAGTGCCGCAGAATCGCCTCAGATGCTCCCATGACCTGCACGGAACGAGGGCGGCCAGTTTTCAAAAAGGTGGCTGTGGCCCGATCGCCTCGCGCAGTCGCTGCAGCTGATGCAACAAGTACACGGATGAAAGGTGGTTCCATTTCAGACTTGAGCTTTCGATTCAGACATCGTAAGCCGAGTGATGTGACAACTCACGAGGTGCAACAATTCCACCGAAAGACGGCGGCACCTTTTTCGAAACGGAGTTCTCGTTTTGGCCCCATCACCAGACTTGAGCTTTCGATTCAGACATCGTAAGCCGAGTGATGTGACAACTCACGAGGTGCAACAATTCCACCGAAAGACGGCGGCACCTTTTTCGAAACGGAGTTCTCGTTTTGGCCCCATCACCAAAGAACGCCGAATACTTTCATGTGAAGTGGACAATCCGGCGGGGGGGTGTTTTTCGTCTGGCACTCAGTCTGGACACTTCCTTGGTATCTGCCGTCAATGATGTTAACATTCCCTACAGCTAAAACGATTGAATACAATTTCGCCCCAAAAAGGGGCACCCCCCTAAATATCACAACCACGGCGCCCTCGCCTGTTCCAGGACGTGAAACGGAGTACTGGTCCGTCTGCATCCACTTCCTTACTGCTCCCACTTATTCTTCCGGCCCCTTCCCCCTCCTCCCCCCCTCCTGCTCCCCCCCCCTGGGCCCCAACATCCAGGTAAAAATCGGTCCCCGGGAACCCTTCCCGCCCCTTCCGCTCAATCTTCCCTCCCGGATCGACTTCTGGCGGTCCCAGGGCCGAAATCAAAGCCAAAAATCCAGCGAGATGCGTTCGGTCCCCGTTCCGCTCTCCTGCCTCTTCTCGACACTGTTGCGACGCAGCGGATACACAGCGCCCGTCACAAGTATCGTTGTCTGATTTGCTGGAGAGCAAGCAAGGAAAACACGCGGCGCGCCGGCGGCAAAGGCAAGGGCTCGGGGAACACTGCGCCGCGTGCGTCTCGAAGCGTTGGTCAGGGTCGCGCAAGCATATATTTGTTAGCGATCCATAGATTTGGCGCGCGGCCGCCAAATCCATGGATCGGGGGAGGTGCCCTCCCCAAAATGCGGCCGGTGCCGCCTCGCTCGACGGCGGAAATCCACAATTCTTCATGGAAGCGGGACCCGTCGCCAATCCACGCCCCCTTGACCCATGTTTGCGATCGCCTGAGTTGGCGTGGAGGCACCGCTCGCTCGTTCGGCGAGCCCCCGAGGCGCGACACTCGAGCCCGGCGAAAGGGGGGGACAGCAAAGGAGGGGTTTGAGAATCAGCTCACGTAGCTGACTTCCCCCGGCGCCTCCCAGCGCCTCCCGGCACCCATGTATCGAGGAATGGGCCCCTCGGTGGGGCCGAAACCAGCTGCATGCAGCAGATTTCGTACCCCCCCTTCTCGCTCGGCCCGCGACACAGCTTCTGTCTTTCCCATACTTTCTGGGTTTCTGTCCTCCCCCCCGCCTCCCATATTTTCCCATATTCTCTGGGGAGTCGACGAGGACTTGTGTCTGTGTGTCCCTTTCCCTCCTGAATGTTTGCGACCGCCCGAGTTGGGCGTGGAGTCTGGCGAGCCCCCGAGGCGCGACGCAGCGGGCTCCGGACTCCCCGCTCGCGCGGGGATCTCTCGCGCCGCCCGCCCCTTCCGCGAGCCGCCGGGGGGGGGGCCCGCCGCGCGACCTGCCCCGCGCGCGTGGCGCCGATCGAACGGCTCCGAGAGGCCGCGATGCCCCCTGCAGGCGGATATTCTTGACGAGAAGCAGGACATGCTCGAAGAAGGACCAACGCGTGCTCAAAACTACCCCCAAACGAAATCGTCCCCCGACGATGTTCGAACTGTTTTTGCGCATTCCTCGTGTGGAGAGACATGCCCGACTGAAGGTCACGATCATCAATCCCGCCCACGAACCCCGCGGGCCACTGTAGCGACAGCTCCTGCGAGGTCCCTGAGCAAGCCACGCGGGCAATGAGCGAAGATTCGCTGGAGGGCTGAACGCGTAGATCGCGGAGGCATCCGTGCCACTCGCGAATGCCATAACATGGCTTGATCCAGAAGGGAAAAGGAAAGGGGAGGAAGGAAAACAGAGGCCGGGGGGGAGACGGAAGGGGGAGAAACGAAAGAGGAAGGGAAAGGCATGCAACCTGGGAAGAAACGGGGGAGGAGGGGGAAACGGGAAGAGGTGGAAGACGACGGTGGCAGCAGCACGTCAGGGAGAGAAACGGGGACGCGCAGGAAGGGGAGGAGGACGAGGTGGAAAAGGGGGACGGAGGCGGGGCAGGGAAGGGGGAGAGAGAGGAGGGGCGCCCCCCTGGGCGCGACCTCGTCAGCCCGTCAAAGATCCACCTGTCTCGATCAAGCTCGCGCGAACACGGTGGCGAGGCCTCCGGACCCGCTCCTTGCTCCGCCCCGCCGTGGACGCACAACACCTCACGGATCGACCTGGCACAATGACTTCCTCCTCCTCCTCCTCCTCCTCCTCCTCCTCCTCCTCCTCCTCCTCCTCCTCCTCCTCCTCCTCCCTGGGCGAACGGCGTCGGGGACTCAGAGCAGGGACTGGCGCCCCCCCATCTGCGGCGCCGGACGCGCCGCACGATGCAGCCTTCGGCACCTGGGGCCCGCTTTCCTGTGCCCACAGTGTGCCCCGTGAATTCCCGATGGAAACGGTGAGCTGTGTTTTGATGGGAGCCGTCAGGGGGGGGGCATCGCGGCACCCAGTAACGGGTGCACTCCCCCGCACAGTTCACGGGAAGCCCCCCGAAACACCTTAACGGGCACACCACTGGGGCCCCTCAATGGGCACAGCCTTGAAGGAAGGAAACTTAAGGGACCTATGACTGGAAATTACTGGACACATGGCCGGAAACTAGCGGGCACATGGCCAGAAATCACTGCACAAATGGCCAGAATTGAAAGGGCACAAGTGGGTTTGCGATGATAGTGGTGACGACGCGTCACCCGCGGGATTGTGATGTTGCGATGCGGGTAGCTTGTCACCCGCGCGCGCGGTACGCTGCACCATGGGGCTGGCATGTGAAAACCGTATACTCTCCAAGCAGTGTTTGCACTTAGGGGTTCTCACGTCTCTCATAAAAAAACTGGGCCTGTGCGCCGGTCCAGCCCGCTTGTGGCCGCCCGTCGCGGCCGCCCGTCGCCACACCATTTTGTTTTGCTTTTGTTGGCACGTCCGTTGACTGGTGTCTGTGAGGAACGGGCTGTAGAAAGGCGATTGAAGTCATAGGGCAGTCCTTAGGTATGCCAGAACTGAAATCTCAAAGCGTGGCGATGATGATCGCGCGAGGCTCGCACATGGGACTGAGCGCTGGTCTGGCCGGCTCGTGGCCGCCCGTCGCCGCCGTCCGTCGCCGCACCATTTTGGTGACGACTCCGATGGTGCGAAGGTCGCACTTTGTGTGGCCTCGCATTGCCGTGCACTGCTTTTTACTGGTTCGTAGTATTTTGCGTTGTTTTGTATTGGTTCGCATTGCTTCGCATCGCTTCGCAATGCTTCGCATTGCTTCGCATTGCTTTACATGCGTCTGCATCACATTGTATTGGATAATATATGATTGGATTGTTTTACACCGTATAGACAGCCCTTCATTGATTGTACCACCTTGATTGTTTTTCCTTATATTATCAATAATATTAATAATAGATATAAATATATGTCGATAAGTATGTGTACACAAACATATAATATACCATATAAAGATATCGTTTAAACCAACAAAAAAATCCCCCCTCCGGACTGATCACTTCCCCGGGAACCGATGCAAAACACATATGATTCTGACCCACTGTCCATCCGACCAATGAACTCATATTATCCCAGCCAGGCCGGTATTGGTCCCCCCCCCACCACCCTCTGCAAAAAATACTATACGCGCACACTCGCATATCAAAAATAATAAGTTGCCTAGAGTCCCCTGCAAAAAACGACTGCACAAAATGCGCGACGCGCACGTCGTCACGCGCGCATACCGAAATCCTTCACAACCTTCGGTTCCGGAAACATGTCGAAACAGAGTGTCCAAAACCGACTTTTTTGATTATACACGAAATGTTTTAAAACAAAATGTTTCACAACGCGGACTTTCAACAAAATTCCGAAAACCGTGAGTATTTCAATCGTTTCATTAAATGCTACCAAACCGGCTTCGCGCGCGCGCATGTCGAAATCGTTCGAACGCCATTGCGCGCGTGCTGGGAAGGCACGATCCGTATCAAATAACGCCATGCGAGCCACTATCGCGCGTCTGCCGCGCGCGCATTACGAATTCCTCGAACGCCTTCATCACCGACGCGAAGACGCCGTCATCGTTGTCGGCGTGATCAGAGAGAGCGTGATCCACCGCCGCTTTACTGTGGAAAATTGCCAACCTTTTCCTCCGGAACCCGGGGGTCGCCCCCCCCCCCCCCTCGAAAAGTCCCCCCCCCTGCTGGAAACCCACCCCCCTCCCCCTCCACCCCCCCTCCCCCGGCCAAACCCCCCCCCTCCCCTAACACTCCCCCCCCCCCCCCCCTCCCGCTCGAAATACGGTGGGGGTCACTGTACTGTTCGAACACCTCCCCCCCCCCCCCACTCCGGGATCCCGGACAAACCGGGGGGGGTCACTACCGGTTCGAACCCCCCCCCCCCCTCCCCCCTACTCACCGCCAGCAAACGACTCCCGGTCCCCACCACCGTCCGCATCACATCCCCCACTGGTGTTCCCAGCACCACTGTCCTCACCACCGCTGTCCCCGCTGGTTCCACCACCGCCCCTACTGTCCCCACCAGTGGCCCCACCACTGTCGCACTGTCCCCGCTGTCCCCAGAACTGTTCCCACCACGGTTCCACTCTCCCCACTGTCTCCACGGCCCCAACCACTGCCCGACTATCCCCACTGTCCCCACTGTCCCACTGACTCCTCCGCTGTCCCACTGAGCTGTCCCACTGTTCCCACCACTGTCCCCACTGTCCCCACCACTGTCCCCACTGTACCTCTGTCCCATTGTCCCACCGCCGTCCTCGCCACCGCCTTCACCACTGTCCCCACCACCATTGTACCCTCCACTGTCCCACTTTTTCCACCTCATTCCCAGTGTCCCCACACCACGGTCCCCACCACCACCGTCACCACCACTGTCCACTGTCCCCCCCTGTTCCCACCATTGTCCCCACCACTGTCCCCACCACTACCGTCCCCACCATTGTCCCACTGTCCCACTGTCCCCACCACTGTCCCGCTGTCCCCTCACCACTGTCCCCACCAACACCGTCCCCACCACTGTCCGCACCCCCACTCGGTTTTCGAGGGGGGGGAGGGGGTGTGAACCGGTAGTGACCCCCCCCGGTTTTCCGGATCCGGAGGGGGGGGTGGGGTGG